TTCCTATTACGTCATGTTGAGCATTACGTTAGTCTATGATCGGATTCTGACACGCTTTGTTAACACTAGTGGTGGCATTGATTCTCAAAGTTTAAAAAATTGTTTGAAATTTCACAGTATTCGTATAGGGTGGAGTTGGGAAAAGTTTACAGATAACACAATTGATATATTCAGGTGTTTCAAATTTATCATCATCATCAACCCATTCATACGTTCCACTGCCCGGCACGGGTCTCCTATTTATGCAATATACTATAAATAAAGATCAATTTGGCTTAAAATGTCAGTCACTAATGATGCAATAAAAAAGTCATATCAAAATTATACGGCTCACAGGTTAAAGGTTTAAGGTTTAGAACCTGTCAGCGGTAAAAGCCTCCTCCACCTTCCACTTTTCTCAGTGACGACCTCCGTAGTCGAGTAGCTTGCACATAGGTTTTGATGGTGTAGACATCTCAGAGGTCTTGGGTTCGATCTCCGGCTGGGGCGATGTAGGAACTAAATTTTCTATATTGTATCGAGTCTGGGTGTTTGTGGTACCGTCGTTGTTTCCGATTTCTATAACAAAAGTGCTTAATTTACTTACTTTGGGATCATAACAACGTACGTGATGTTATCTAATATTTATTTATTTAGTCTCTAGCGGCTCTATTCCATACTTTACCAGATACTATTACGATGTCATCACTCCATCTTTTGTGTGGTCTTCCAGGTTTATGCCTTCCATGTACTGGGTACCAATTCGTAACAGTTTTGTACCGTCTCTCGTCCGTAGCTCTTTGGATCTGTCCAGCTTATTTTCTCTTTTTGATGTAGCTTGTTTAGTTTCGATCTTCTTCTTTATTAATTGTTTTTTCACATATTACACACATATTTTAATTCGTTGTAAATTCTGCCCAGCTAAAGACCATGTCAGGGCTCCGTTACTCGCTCGAGGTTACGCGATAAGTGTATACCGCTGACAAAGCAAGCGCTGAGACAAGTCTTTCATTTATATTACAATCTTTGGACAACCCCAGCGTTTGGTTCCGCAAGACTGCTCTCGGCGGGCAGCGTTATTTTCATCTCTCTGAGCGCGTGCTAAGGTTCTTTTTTTCTCGTAGGGAGCGCCTGGATTCAATATTCAGATTTAGTAGGCTATTATAGCGTAGCTATTTTCAATTTTGTATGATCTGTTACGTAGTAACTGTTGAGTAAAATTTTGATGAAATTATTAATTTAGCTACCTGGCCTCGAGTCATAAGTACCTAATCGATTCTGAAACTTGAAAGAAATTCTTTAACAAATTAGGCCAAATACGTTCTCACAAACCAGACTATCAATATAAATTAAAACTTTTCAATATCCCCAACATACTCGCATTAAGTTTGTGTTCAATACCTCGAGAAACTTCACACAATGCTGTTCGGACAAAAGCGTGGAACGGAACGCCAATAACTTTGTAAGGAGCTTTGCACGTTCCGTTTTACCTAAAGTATTTTCGTTCGGACAAGTTTGCGGAATAAATCGTATGATATCTAATAGTAAGGTGGTTATTTAATGGGTGTACGTGCTTTACTGTAAGTCTAGCTAAAGTTGAATAGGTGGCTAAATATTACCTATTATTGTTAAACAATTTATTTGCTACACCAAATCTCTGAATGTGTTAAGTGAAATAATAAAAACTTAGTAAAATCTTTTTAGTAACAGTAAAGCTTCTTGTGAGAGAGTCCGTTCAGGGAAGTACTGCCACCTTGTCTATTTCTGCCGCCAAGCAGTAATGTGAGCATTGCTGCTTTCCGGTTTTGAAGGGTATGGGTGCTGGTGAAATTACAAACACTTGGGACTTTTCAACTTATGTCTCAAAGTGATGGGTGCAGTGGCAATGCCCCGTCCCGTCCCGTTACTTAGTATCATAAAACATTACAGTCGAATTGAGAAACTCCCTTTTTCGTAAAAGTTACTAACAGCTTCAGAAAGTCCAAATATAACAACGTCGCCATTTTGACCATGTTTTGGTATTTTGATATCAGTTTTTCTCTCTCGCAATTCTGTTCTTAATTGCTCCCTTTCGATTGATTAATCAGGAAACATAGTGTCTAACATTTTAAGACTTTCATAGTTGTTTCTTCTAATTTGCACGTTACCCAATTGACATAAAGTTGACTATGCTATAGTTACAAAAATCCACTTCCAATCCCTTCAGTAGCAATATGAATTGAGCCTTAGCGATACTTAGTACTAGAGTGAATGAACTCGAGCAATAAGTTTTGTAAAATTCACCCTTTGTAAACAACTTGGTCTTCGCTCATATACATCATTCGATGACGCCTAAGTTCAAAATATTCAAAAGTAAACTTTATGTCTTTCAATTTATAGCGGTTAGCGAGGCGTTGTGCTTTGTTTTCCTTGTGAACCTGAGACCACGAAAGTGTCCCTGTCAACGTCGAGCAAGCACTTCTAGAAGAAACATATTATAGGTTTTTTTAATTCCACTGCGTCTTTGCTAAGGTAATTACAAAATGAGTTCTTATGTTGCCGCGAAAACAATTTATAGTTTTTCGGATCTACATTTGACGCATTTGACCTCCGTCATACCTGATGGAAAGTGACGGTGTCGACGATGGAACATGCACACCTAAATAATGCCTATTCACTCTCGCCTTCAAAAGACCCAAGTTATAACGTTCAGGGAACAAGTCTGCAGGCAGGGAATTCCAATCCATAGCCGTTCGTCATTTAAATGTGATCATGTGAAGCCTGGTATTATAATGACAATATTGCATTCAAAGCTATGGCTGTATGTGCTACATAATCTAAAGGTATCTAGAAAAATAAATTTCTCATACAATAATGAGGGCATTCTTGCTTGGGCCTCAATCATGTAAATTATATTAAAGTAATTTTGTTTTAACCTGAGCGTACTTTTAAAAGGTGTGGTGTGGGGGCCACCTCTCGCGTCTCGCGACCTGAGCGCTGTAACCTTGTTAATAAAGTTGGTTGTCTTTTTGGAAGTGACCTTAGATAGTAAACTTTATGTTTTCAACATTTCTCTTCCTTAGCCAACCGATTAAGCTCTGCTGCTTACGCAGTCCATAGAATGTGGAGTAAAGCATGCAAGACAGATATACAAACCATATTTGTGTTGCAAAAACGAGCGATTTGTTCTATGTACCCTTTAGGTTCTCGGGTTTCTCTCAGAGAAAAGTTTAAGGAGCCTGGTATCATGACTGTGGCATCACAGTACATAATTTCATTAAGAAAGAAGATATCCATAATATAAACCTTAGAACTAAGTCGAAACTCATGGTACCACGGTTTAGCGTAACTAAGATAAACGATTTTTTATGGAGAACTGTATACGTTTTTCTAATAAGATTCCGGAGCATATTAAGATTATCATTCCCTAAGTTTAAAACTTAGGGAATTGAAAAGTAATATTACAAAATTGAAGAGTATTTGTTAGATAAAGATGTATGGAAAGACAACAAGAGACTCGATTCCACACAATTATGATTCAAAGTGTATTCCATAGCATACAAGTTTATTTGAAAAGAGCAATGCCTAGAGTTTCTTGCTTGTTCTTCTCAGCGTAGTAAAAATTGCGTTTTCAATTTTACCTACGAAATAAATGATATGAATGATTACTTAATTACTTTGACTTTGAAAGAGAAATACAATATAAGCGGTTTAGTTTTTGAAAGATTAATTGCATTCTCAACCAAAGTTTCCGTTTAAAATTTTTGTTAATTCAAATATTTAGCAACGTATTCTTACTGAGCCTTTAAATTTGAAGTCTCTATATCATATATCACATAGGTTTAAAAAATGTCCAGGACTAAAATTTGTAATTTGATTACGTCTTAATTGCATTCAGTAAATTAATATGTCCGTAGAGGAAACATCAAATAATTAGCCAAGTAAAAAAATATTGTTTGCAAATAAATATTTCCAGTTACAGATTACTTTGTAGTAAAGGGTAAAAAAACGCAAGACTGGGCGCTATATGAGATCTCGTAACTTCTTGTGAAGAAAAAATCAACGACATGGCTTAATTTTTTACGTTTAATATTTTTCATGAACTTTCGGTTTTTAAAGTGTACTGTATCATTATTTACACTTTTAAAACCCACAATTGAATGTTAGGCATGGAAACAGTGTGCTATTATTACATTTAGGTACCGGATTCCACAGCCAAAATAGACTGTAAAACTTTACTAGACATTAGACCTTGTCGTAAAAGGAGAACTTAATAAACGTAACATTTGAAACTTAAAGGGTATTTGATGTCCAATGTGGTGTAGTAATAATATTTTTTATTACTCAAATACCTTTACGATAAAAACACTTAAAAACTTGACATTGGCCAAGTTCGCCATAATTTTTATATATTATTTTTGCAAACTTGACGATGGCGAAATCCTAAAAAGGTCACCGTCAAATAAGCAAAAAGGAGAAGTGGTTTCACATCGTGGTGTGCTTACTTGTTACGTACTTATTTCGGAAGTTAATAAAGATATTAGGAAGAACCTAACTTGCAAAATAAGTAAGAAGCACAGTTAAGAGATATATTATACAAAGTTTAAGACAAAAGTGTGATAGGCCCTTAAAGTTGGCAATAAATTCATTATGAAGTCTACCAGTATATGATGAGTGCTGAGAAAGGGGCGGCTGGTACTGAGTACCTACATGCCCTGGGGCCTAGGGCGGCCAAGAGTGCAAATCTGGGTGTAAGACGAAATTTTGACCTTTTTCGGAGTTAGAATCTCTAATAAGGAGACGAACTATCCTTTTGAGTTATTAGCCTATGGTATTGCGTAAAAATGCATGAGATTCGACTTAACGACTCCAGGCTCTCGTGAATACGGTCAAATGGAAAATTTCTTTTTAGTCTCATGGATAGACAAGTAAATCTACAAAAATTGTCTTCATAGTAAATGTGGAATATATAATAGGTTGAAAGAAAGGAAAACTTTGAGAATCGCGTCAAAACATGCGCTAACGCAGCGAAATACACAACAATGCGCTGTCAACCGCTGCACGGTGCAGTAGTCGTCCGTCTGCGCAAGAGTTATGTGAAAATTATGGCGTTGCATAAAGTGGTCGACGTTCTCATTATAGTTTCATTAGTCTTATATGTGTTGTGCTCTGTTGTTATGGGTGCCGGGATACTCTCTGCTAAAGGTCAGTAGTTTCTAGCTACCCTTTATTTAGACATATCTTATTGCAACTGCTTAAACAAACAGGTACATGACAAAGGCCCGGTGTAAATGTCATAAACAAAGTTAAATTTATTAATGTCTAATAATATTATGCCAGACAATTAGTCTGATTGCCTGGTCTCGAACTAGGAAGTTCTCTGCACTATGAGAGCAAAATAATTATCTCTGGGGCACTTCACATGACACCCAGGCCAGAACCAATATATAAAGTTTATTTTTCAATTTGGTCTAACCGGGAATTTAACTCGGGGCCTCCTGATCCAGCGCCCACGGTATTAACCGTTACGCCACTGAGGTTGACAAAATGGTACTACTTTTTGGGTTACCAATGAATAGACCAGTGAAAATTCTAAAAACTAATCAAAGAAGACGCGCAGATATGATAAATTATACCTACAAGGTCGACGGGGACAATTTTATGGGGCAATTGGGAAAGTTTAACATTGCAAGATAGCTCACATTTTACCAACTACTATAACAATGGAAGGATGTAAAATTTATAGGACAAAAGTTGGGTAAATCAAGATTACTTGAGTAATTTTGAGCTGTCTCAATATCCCCACGGTTACATCTACCCCAGTAGACTTTACGTAGTGTTAAGAGTCTATACTACCTCAGCTCGAATTTTTTTTTATCAGATAAACACAAACAGTTACATAACAAACATAACAAACATATAACAAACATTGAACAAGCAAGATTAAATAAATATGAACCAACAACGTGTTCCACAAATATGTGACAATTAAGGCATACTGTGACTCGCGTGACACATGCGCGTAGTCCTTAGGAATTAGATTTCAAAATTTTGTTTATACGTATAGGGAGAAATTAAGTAAAATAAATAATTTACGTTATATAGCCACATACTTACTTAATAATCATTTATTCCATAGGTAAAATTTTTGCACTTGAAAACGTAATTTTTTTAAGCTACTGCTCATTCACTACGCTGACCTCCCTGAGAAGAACAAGCAAGAAACTCGAGGGATTGCTCTTTTCAAATAAACTTAAATGCTATAGAACACATTGAATCATATTTGTGTGGAATCTGGACTTACGTTGTCTTTCTATACATCTTTATCTAACACGTAGTCAACAATTTTGTAATATGACTTTTCAATTAAAACACTTTTGATGTATGTTTTAAATTTAGGAAATGGTAATCTTAATATATGCTCCGGAATCTTATTGTAAAAACGTATACAGTTCCACATAAAATAATCGTTTACCTTAGTTAAACAAAAACGTGAAACCATGAGTTTGGACTTAGTTCTAAGGTTAATATAATGGATATCTTCTTTCTTAACGAATTTATGAATATTTTTATGGGCATTCAAAATATTTGAGCAAATGTACTGAGATGCAACGGTCATGATACCAGTAAAACTATTCTCTGAGATAAATCTGAGAACCTAAACGGTACACAGAACGAATCTCTCGTTTTTGCCACACAAATATGGTTTGTATATCTGCCGCTTTACCCCACATGAGAATCATCGTAGGACATTATACTATAATTTTAATAACATTAAAGTACTCGTAAGTATGAAATGTCAAAAACAAGGCATTGAACTTAAGGATTTGTCATTTAAAAATTCAAACACTGTTTAATATATTTTGTAAGTCAATAAGTTGTTTAATTGTTTTTCAAATAGCATAAGGTTTTTCTTATCTGATAAAAAAAATGGTCTGCAGATTCAAACTCAAATTATAGTCTTTGATTAAAGTCTACTGCTCATTCGTAAGACAAATTCCCCTGAGAAGAATAAGCAAGAAACTTTACGAGCTGTTTTTTGTAAATAAACATTTATATATAGGAAATGAAACTATTTTTCCGGACGTAAATCGCCTGTATTTGTTTTTTGCAAAAAAACCAACGTTTCGGGCCCTTTACATGGTCAGTCAACTGTGACCATGGGACCTGTACAGGGCCCGAAAAGTTGGTTTATTTGAAAAAACAAATATACGCAATTTAAATCCGGGAAAATAGTTTCATTTCCTATGTGTAACAATCGCGAAAAATTAACTCCGACCTCGATAACATTTATAATTCATATCAAGACAACCTGAGATAGCTTGACAAAACCTTTAGTGTTAAGTTTTGGTTCACTTTAGTTTTAAACCTCGTAAATGGCAAATTGTTTTTAACGCAAAAACTGAATGCATACTTCGGCTTGAAGCTTGTATTTATATTTACTACATTTCAACAACAGAATTTTGAACATTGTTGCATATTGTACATTGATAGCGCTTTTCCCATTGTAGTTTATTGTGTCTCAGGAGTTTATATATTAGAACCATGGACAATACTTCAATAGGATTGCTAATTGCTGTACAAGACAGCGTAGTTGGGTATTCAGTACCTATAAGGACACGAGATGTCGCGATGAGTACCAAATAAGTGTTTTTGTAACTAATTGACGAACCACAATTTGTCAAACAATTAATTTTTATTAAAAAAAGGAACCGACTTCAACTAAAAAGTTAGGGATATGCTACCGGACAATGCTCGAAACCGTTCTCCTCCCCTAGTTTGCCACTCTTAGAGATGGAGTATTTTCTTCAAATTTAAACCACCAGTACTGAGGTACCCTCTGTCCAACAAAAAAGATTCATCCGAATCGGTTCACAAATGCCGGAGTCATCGCGTAACATACACACACATACACACAAAAAAATAAAGTCGAGTTGGGAACCTCCTTTTTCGAAGCAGGTTAACAAACTAACTAGATATCTCTATACAATGTACCATACAGTACAATGATGCCAGATGTACCAAACAGCTATTTTTGCAACTAATTTCTTTTACATTAAAGCTACTCTAATTTCTAGTGCTAATAAACAAATAAACTAGATGACGCTTATAGCACAGATTTTATGAATACTACCGGTTATTTTTTATTTTGTTTAAGATTAGCGCCATCTATCCATACTAGCAAGCGTTAATTTGTAAATTAGTTTGTAACACACAATACCATCTAGTATATCTAGTGGTCAATATTTGAACAATTAAAAAACTGGCTAATTATACTTCATCGTCATCATCGCCTACGGCCTATCGCAGCCTACTGCTGGACATAGGCCTCTCCCAAAGCGCGCCATTTCGCCCGGTCCTCAGCTTGTCATATCTATCTGCTGTCAGCAGCCTTTCTCAAATAATAATGTATTTGAGAAAGGCTGCCGAGCTATGGTCTCGCGGTACCTATGCGTGGCAGTCCAGAATGGTAACCGTTCAGCCACGGAGGCAGTTAAATTAAAACAAATTTATCAAAGTACTTATATTAGTTTATAATAATGTAATGTCAAAGAACATATAGCTGATGTCAAACACCGTCGCGTAAACAATGTCATGGATAAACCTACACATTCAATGAAGTTTGACAAACCCCAGGTCCTTGCAAAAGAAGTCCGTTATCTACCCAGGATGCTGCGAGAAGCTATTGAAATTAAAAAACATCCTAATTTCAACAGGGAAGATGATTTCTCCGTACCACCAGTTTGGGATCCAGTATTTCCTCTAATGAAAAATCCCAAACAGACATAAGACTGCAGTACTAATTAATATGTTTTGGTTTATTCTAATTTCTATTATTAATTAATAATAAATCGAACTTAATAAAAATTCATTCAATAAAATAATTTGTAAAACTGAATGTAGCGTAAACTGGAATGTTTTCTTTGTAAAATTAAAAATAAGGTATTCAATTAATAACTATTGTAACTATAGTGAAAAAATAGGGTGGTTTGCATCAATATTAGACATAACTGGTTGAAGACTGTACCACCTCAGTCAACCGTGACCATGGGACCTGTAAAGGGCCCGAAACGTCGGTTTGTTTGAAAAAACATATATACGCGATTTAAATCCGGAAAAATAGTTTCATTTTCTATGTGTAACAATCGCGAAAACCTAAGAACTGGAAATGTAATGTTATTTTGTACACCCATTATTGTATAATTCTAGTATTAAGGTCTGAAGAAAGAAATTTCTATTAGAAATGGGCAATACGTTATGTTTACGTTTTCTTTTTTACTTGTGATTTGTGTATTCCTATGCAATAAATGATTATATGAATATAAGAAAAACAAACCACCAAATAAAACTGTATATGACAAATATTTAAATGGTATAGCAAATGCAGAGCAATTTGTGCTAGTAAGTGTCATCTTGCGTTTGTTTTCTTAAATGGGCTCTTGTATTTACCTTTCTGTCCACTCACATCCGTTCAGTGCTCGGTTCACGAATTCATTGATAAATCAACAAATCTCAAGCACCACTTCGTGTCCTTGTTATTATTAGAACAAAGAGACAATGTGTCTCTCTATGATCACCATATCATGGTGATCGTATGTGAGAATGTGAAAAAAAGAACCAGTGTTACAAAAAATTCGCGAAAAGAGTCTTCGAAGCAATATTGTCCTTCACCACGACAACGCCTTTGCACATTCCGCTATGGTAACGAATGCGTATTTAAAGGCCTCAAATGTGGAGCTGATAACCCAACCGCCCAGCCCAGACCTTGCACCATGCGACTTCTTTTTATTTCCAAAAATCAAAGATAAACTTAGAGGTTTACGATTTACAAGCTCTGCTGCATACGTAGTCCATAGAACACGTGAGCTCACCGATGTTGCTACTGCTAGATTAGTTTACTTAAGTTACTTCCATAGTGTAATGTCCTACGGGATTCTCATGTGGGGTTAAGCGGCAGGCATACGAACCATGTTGCAAAAACGAGCGATTCGTTCCGTGTATCGTTTAGGTTCTCGGGTTTCTCTCAGAGAAAGGTTTAAGGAGACTGGCTGAAACGTCATATTACAAAATTGAAAAGTATGTTTTAGATAAAGAAGTATTGAAAGACAACAACAGTCTAGATTCCACACAAATAATGATTCAAAGTGTATTCCATAGCACTTAAGTTTATTTAAAATAAATAAACTTAACTTTGTATAAAAAAG